CAGTGAGTAAAGAGGAATTGTCTTGGGCTGCATATAAAATATATAACACAGTTAATGTACATAATTAAGAACAAAACTTATTTTAATAAAAGATTTATTTTTATATATTAAAAAAAAAGAGAAGCAAAGCATAAAATTAGTGGGATATGTGACTTTATTTTGTGAAACTAATGCCACAGGCTGGTTCAATGGCAGTGGCTGCTCTCAGTGTTTGACAGATTTTTTTTTAATGAAATTTTACTCCTCCTATACTTCATCATGTAAAATTACTCACAAACATGTATATTGCCAAAAAGCAATGACATGAATAAGGTGTAATTGTGATGCAAGGGATATTTCTCTCTGCTAAAAGAGGACTTATGAAAGTCTGGCAAAGAGACATTATCAGTTTTTTAGAATTGAATATCTGATTGCAACTCTATACATTCCATTTGAAAACTTGCAAGCAATATGTTTATGTCAACTAAAAATGGAGCCACAAGTGTATGAAAAAATTTTTTTTTTGCAATCTTGAAACTTATTCTCAAATTCCTTAATCAAAGCAGAAAGCTGAATATTTTTTGCTGTTTATGGGACTATGTTTAGCTGATGTATCAGAAGGCATGCAATTATTTGCCATCACATGAGTTAGCACTGCACTGTGTCCCATGCCCTTGTTTAGCCCAGACCCATTTAAAGTTGCCAGTTCATAGAAGTACTCAATCGTCAATCATTTCAGTATGAAATTAGCAGCTGGAGCATAATCTGAAGTGCTCTGGAACAATAACTTACAGCAGTGTCATTCCTGAAGATATCTCTCAATGAAGGGAGCAGTGTTGGATAAAGAAGCAGCAGTGTGGTCACTCCCTGCTTGTCTCTCACTATGTGTTGACATTTTTATTTGGAGAAAAGGTAATACATATACAAATATGCACACATGAATGCTGCTTGATAGCAGAAAATACCAGCTGTGAGAGGAAGGGTCAGCTCCCTCAGTAGTTCTTTCTGAGAAATTCAGAAGCAGGTACATATGAGAAGCTCCTATGCTCCAAATGGAGCTGGAGCCATCCAAGCAAGCATTCTCCAAGCCTGGGAAAAGGATTTCAGTAGAAGGATTCAAACCAACTCTGCTTGGTCAAGCCAGATTCATGCATGCCTAGTAGTGTCATGTCCCTTGGGGCTGGAGGATTCTCTAAAGAGCCCATAAAGAAGAGAAAATAGCAGAATTCAGTACAAACTCTATCAGCATGGAGTATACAGTTGTAGGTGATGCCTCTGCCTTGCCTACTGTAGAGTACAAGCAGCTGAATTCAAGAAATACAAAGCATCTTTATTTCTATGATATATAAGTGGAGAGATTTTTCTAAGTAGTGAAATAAATTTTTCATTAAAGAGGAGCAGGCCTTGCTGAGAGGAGGCTGGAGAAAGCTTTCTGGAGCCTGCCTTTGTGTGCAACACAAAAGTCATCTCTTCATAAGTGGTTCTACGTGAAGTCCAATTTCTTTCACAAGAAGAGAGACCTTGCATGTTATTATCCAGCAGGTAGCACATAAAGTAAAAATAGCTACCTCTGCTTTTTCACTCCTTTTTGCTTTCATTTCCTCTGGTTTTGGTGGTCTCTTTTTTCTTCTGCTCCTTTGTCCACCTTCACTCTGCCAATTTTAAATGTGGAAGAAATTGACAATAAAGGTGACTTCTACATGTGATGGAGAAAAGGTGGGAAGAAAACATTGCAGTTTCATTATCCATTCCTTTATGGTTAAATTTGGATGTTGCTGGGTAAATGGGATACAGGTAAAGCATGGGCTACACCTGAATTTGCCTCTCTTCCTTCCCCAGGCAAGCTACTCAGAGAAAGATTCATGACATTTGAAGAAGCTGTCCTCAACAGGAGAACACGAGAGCACTTCTCCATCTGATCACAGCACAAGAGAAGGAACCCTGAGACAAAGTATGTCCATCTTCACCTTTGCTTTAATGAAAGGGCTTGCTCTTCAGTGTGTGCAATTCCCAGTTTGTCAGTACATAGGGGCTACTACAAAGGCTATTAAAACTGCTATTTAGCTTGATTTGGTGATTGCTTTTGTTTGAAGAGTGTGAAAGAAGCTCTTTACGTTTGTACAGATCTGAAGGAGGGAAAAAAGGACTGAGATAATAACATATAAGCACAGAAATATTCAAGGAGAGCGTGCTAAAAGGGAAGAGCTCTGAACGTGCTGCCTCCTTATGAGAAGCTTATTGGGCAGAGAAGCTAAACTAAGCAGCACCATCTAGTGTAAGGCTAGGAACAGAGCTGGTGCCTGGATCCTTCAGAGACTTCTGCCCGTATCAGTCAGGTTCCCCCCAGAAAATGAATCCATTAGGAAATAAGCTGTACTTTCTGGTTTAAACAGATCTTCGACTACTTTGTGTTCTTCCAAACAAAGTAATTCTCTCTTATGCCAAACTCATAATTCAGTTCAATTGTTTTCCTCTATTACACTGTTGAATGTAATGATTTCTTAGCTCAGTCTTGTGACGTCAGTTTTCATCCTTGTTTTGTTCCACTTCAATTATTTTCATGAAATGGTAGGAAATATGCCTAGTAACGTTCTTGATAGACACGTCTTTGCTCCCTTTTTCCTTTTGGGAAAATCCATAAAGACATGGGTTTGATCTACTCCATCAAGCTATGGGCCATGAACATGGTCCTGAAGCTCAAATTGACAAAGGCATTTAAGAGCCCTAAACCCATATTAATATAACTTGCTGTCATATATTTATATTTATATAAATATATATAATATATATATACATATATATTTATGTATATGTATGTACATGTATAGTGAATCATTTCCTTTTACAGTCTTCTCTGAAGGTCTAGTGAATCCAGAATACACATGCACACCAGAATAAAAGTTTGATCAGTGCTACAGGGACTACTGAATGTTCTCTAATCACAATTACCTTAGGAAAGATATGAGTTCTGTGGGATAACAGTCTAAGCGCTCACACTAGAAGCAAGTTTGAGTATGCTCATTTTGAGACCAAAGCAAAATGTTCAGCCTCTGACTCCCAGTTCCTTAGACTCCATCCTTTGGTCTGTGCTGAACTTTCTGCACCAAATCGAAATGAATTCTGGTAAACAACATTCATGATTACTTTGTCCACTTTCCAATTCATTGCTCATCACTCAAAAGGTTGTTTCCACTACCTCTTTCCTTAATGCATTGCACAAGTACTAAGTGCCTGCAGCCCAAAGGCTGAGGATTGGCTAAGGCCACAGAACTGGGAACATCAAAAAGAGTTCAGAAACAGCAAAGCCCGGAAAATGTTCTCTACCTCCCACTGCTTTTACCCAAAAGACACACTTCCTACTTTGCTGGAATGCAAAGAGCTGTCTGTGCTGACATACCGCCCAACTTCGGGTGTGTTGTGTCAGAAGGAAATGTCTTCAGCCAAGAGTGGTGTTTGTGAGCATCCTTTATTCTTGACTTATTAGCCTCTAATGAGGGCTGTTTCCTATATCTAGGAAAAAAAAAAAAAAAGCCATAAATCAATTAAACACAAAACAGAAACAACACAGGAGAATGCAGGAGGAGAATAAGAATGTTAGAGTTTCCTTCAAGAGAAAGGAATCTTTCAGCTGCTCTCAGAAGAGCTGTATTCTCTTAGCAATGGGCATCTAACCATGCAGCTTTAAGTCATGTTTCAATAAGGGAGGTGTTCACAGGCTTTTGTTCCAATGTGTGGTTTCCTGGTCTATTGGGAAAGCTTACGTTTTCTGTATTTTGAAAACTGGATTTCTTGTCTACATCATGCTGAATTGTGAAGACAACTCTTGAGGTCCCTCATGGTGACCAGTCAATTTCTGGAAACTGGGTACCAAGACTCAGCAGTCATTTTTGCCTTCACAGCAGACAGCCAAGGATGATTTAGTCCATTATTACCACAAGCAAATGGCCAGCTCTAGGAACAGTAGAATTGCACCCAGTACCACTCCAGTTTGTGAGCCTTCCCAACAAACAGGCCAAAAATGACTCCTAGCTGTGATCATTACACAGCCATGTTCCCTTCTGCAATATTTGCTCACTAAAATTGCTGTTTCTTCATTAATGGTTTGAAAAGAAACAACTGTAATGTATATTCCAAAAGTCGTCATCCCATGTACCTATTCACTCACCATTCCTAATTAAGATCATGAAAGATTAACTCCTTAATTGTGATGTTTATTAATTATGTTTTTCCATTTGCTGGTTTACAGCATTACTTCTATTCCTTAATTAGCTCACAACAGCTGCAGAAAATGAGTAATCACTCCTTCATACTCTTTGCTTCTTGGGCAAATTATTGGCTGATTGGTCTTCCAGTCCACCTGTTGTCCTACAGCTTGTTTGCAAGAAAGGCATCGAGGCCCTGGAATGGTTGCAGGGAAGAGCAGTGAAGTTGTGAGGGCTCTATTGCACAAGTCTTATGGGGAGAAGATGAGGGAGCTGGGGTTGTTCAGTCTCGAGGAGGCTCAGGGAAGACCTTATGGGTCACTGCAGCTGCTTGAAAGGAGATTGTGGCGAGGTAACAGTGATATGATGGGAGAGAATGGCCTCAAATTGTACGAGGGAAGATTCAAGTTGGATATTAGGAAATGTTTATTTTTTGACAGAGGTGATGCAATGGCACAGGCTGCCCAGGCAGGTGGTGCAGACGTTATCCCTGCAGGTGTTGGAGAAAAGGGTGGATGTGGCACTGAGGGACGTGGTCAGTGGGGATGGGGTGGGGGTTGGATGTGATGATCCTGGTGGTCTCTTCTAACACTCGTGACACTGTGATTCTAAGGACAGCACTCAGGCACCTGAACCCCCACAAATCATGCATACCGAGGGAAGGTTCCCTATCCCTCTTCAACTCCTTGGGATGCCCGCACGCCTCCACACTCCACAGGTGCTTGAAGCACCACAGACACCCCAGCTCCCGGCTAGGAGCCCTCCCCCCCTCCTATACCCCCAGCCGAGGGCTCAGCCCAGGCCCTCCGTGCCCCGCCCCTCTGCTCCGTGCCCGGCGTCTCCCCGTCCCCGCGCCCGTAGCGCCTCGCGCTCCGACCGTTGGCGCACGGCGATGGCGGCGAAGCTGACGATGCGCGTTCTGCTGCTCTTTGTCCTCACCGGTAGCGGGCGGTGGCGGGGCTAGGAGAGGAGCAGCGGGGACGATCCCGGTCCCGCACCGAGGGCTGTGGGCAGAGGAGGGAAAAGGGTCGGGCGAGGGCGCGGGGAGCGGGATGAGGAGCCGGGATGGGGCGAACTCAGGCGGGTCCCGGCCGGTAACGCCGCCTCTCTCCCCGCAGGGCTGCTCTTGCGCCCCGACGCTGCCGCCAGCATCCCGGTGAGTGAGCCTGGCCCGCTGCTGAGACCCCGCAGCTGCCTGTGCCAGCAGTGTGCCTGCCCTGGGGCTGCAGCACTGCTGTCCTGGGGAGCTGGCGTCTGCGTTCCCATCTGCCACCTGCCTGTTTGTGGGTGTCCTTCCTGTGTCGGACCTCATCTGTGTCTGTCTTCCCCAGCCGGCATGCGACAAATACAGCCGTCTGCCTGGATGTCCGAGGGACTACAACCCAGTCTGTGGGACTGATGGAAAGACCTACTCCAACGAGTGTGTGCTCTGCCTTTCCAACAGGTAGGAGCTTGCTGCACATCCTCACTTTCCTTTCTCTGTGGAAATGTTCACTCTCACTTCCCCATTAAGTGAAGAGCTCTTGCTCACTCACCTTCTGTTAACAGCAGTTCTAGCATTTTCTCAAATGTCAATTCCTTGCAGTGGCTTTTATCGTGATACCTGTAAATGGCTCGGTTTGGATTAGCTGATAGTATTAAGAAATGTGTCACAGCACAGGCTTTGCACACAGTTCATACACTACCATTAAATACAAACATAGTACCACAGAAAGACTTGGGTTGGAAGGGACCCCAGTGATCATCCAGTCCCAAACCCCTGCCCTGAGCTGACTGCCCCCCACCAGCTCAGGTTTCCTAGGGCTCCAACCAACATGTCCTTCAGAGCGTCCAGGGATGGGACATCCACAGCCTCTCTGGGCAGCCTGTGCCAGCAAGTGAAATTTCCATTTGCCACATTAAAGATTTAACAGCAAGTATTATTGTACAGTGTACAATAGTGGACTCTTGAACACCCTCCATCAGAAACTCACAGAAAACATGAAAGACCCAGCTGAAATGCAGCTCTTAGTGAAAAGATTTTACTGTCAAGATCCAATCTCTTGTGCTCCCTTTCACTGAGAAAAGTAAGAATGCCAAATGTTAGGAGAAAGTACTGTTTTGCCATTCGGGTTGTCTAACAGTCAAGAATAAGATCTCCTGCCGTCCTTGAGAGATGTCATTTTACCCTTTAATAATTTCATAGTTTTTAAAACAAATTGAAAACACAGAAAATCATCCCCTAGTGAACATTGTTACATTTGTTGTGACTAGCTAGAAAACTCTGCAGTGCAGGTTCTCATTACAAATTGAGAGGAGCTGTTGTGAATCAAATTGGATGGTGAAGCACCGTTTATATTAATATGATAACAAAATAATAGGATTCTTGTTTCTGTCTGAGGGGAGAAGTGAGGGTAGCAGAACAGCAGTGATGGACATTTACAAAATTAGAAATAGACCTCAAGAAAGGGAAAACTAAAGTATGTTCCTGACTTCAGGGTGAAGGGGAAGGTTAATTGTGACAAGATCACTTACACAATTCAAATGAGCAAGGTAGAGAGACCATAGGTCAGAAGAAGGAAAATGTTGAAGGTGTCAGAGGACAATTTAAGGAATTTAAAATTTAAAATAATGAATGTTATAAAAAAAAATACTTTAAAAATACTTTTCCACATCAAATTATGTTTACAAGTGTGCAGATCTGCAGAGCTTGGTAATGTTCTGACTGGAGTACATCACAAACTATCCAAGAATATAACAAAATTTGAACAAAAACTGGTAAACCAATTGGCAAAGCTGCAGTCTGAGTAAAATTTAGAAACCCCAGCAAATCAAGAGGCTCATATAGTGCAGTTGGTGAAAAGAGGAGAAAAGAGGTGCTGTCATGATACCTTGTTAGGAGCCTACCCCTTTTTGCTATGTAGAATGGTACTGGAGTAAGATATTAAGCGACAGACGTGTCGACAGCCAGAGGGAAAAAATGAGTAAGCAAAGCTGACACAGATTTGTCAGAAACAATCCAGAAAAATCCATGGGATTTAGTTTTTCAGCAAGATTACTTGCCTGTCAGAGTAGAAGGAAGCAGAAGTGTTACTCCCTGACATACGGACCCTTTCCACAGAATTCCCAGCATTAGAACTGTTTCTCATGACACAGACTGTGAAGTTTGACTTGCGTTAGTGCTTTGCAATGAACACTTCAGTCCTTGCTGTGAGATTTCTCATGTGGTTTGGTACTACTCAGGTTTTCAGATTTCTACTGGATTCTTAAAGGTAACAAAGCCTGAAGTGAGGCTGTCTCTAAGTTATTAGCTCTGTGTGCGTAATTCATACATCTTTTCATCAGTTACTTTGCAGTGAGGCTTGCTGCAAGTAGCGCGAATAAATACTTTGCTACTTTTAACTGAGCATATAAATACATTGTCCCTTTTAACTGAACATTAACATGGAAAAGTTGGCTTTATAAAATGTCTGTTAAATGAAAGTGTGGTAGTTCTCCTCTTAAAATAGTTTTGTTCTGCTTGCAGTGAAGAAAATAAGAATGTCCAGATTTACAAGAATGGAATGTGTTGATAAGGCAGATGACAACTCTTCAAGCAAATGAGAACAAAGTCAGTCCAAATAGAAACAGTTCATTAGAAGTAGCTTCTCTGTAGTCTGTCCTAATAAATAAACTTGCATTTTTAAACCAAGTTAAGCCAAGTCCTGTGAGTGTATTTAAACCACATAGCCATTGCTTAGAACCTGAATTGCAATTTATTGTTTCATGTAAGACAGATCAGAGGGCAGGGAAGAGATACCCTGGCAGCTTACCAGGAACAGTCAGTTCCTTGTGAGGCACCAGAGCCGTTTCCCACAGCACTACCTGGCAGCAGCCAGGTTTCAGCACCTCCATTTTGAGCAGCACAAGCTACCACTCCTTTCAGGAAGGATTTGAACCCATGGGGCCCACAGCCCATGCCTGTCTGCACTCAGTGTAAAGAATAATTATTCACAAAGTGATCTTGTGTGACTTCACTGGAGGGCAGGAAACTGAGAATAGTAGTAGAATGGGAGTATGGATGCATGCACGCCACAGGTCCTACTGCTTTCTAGACTTACCCAAGAAAAGACACCTCTCCTTCAGCAGAGATCTACAGAAAATGTGGGTACAAGGATTTCTGTGTTTGGTGATGCATAGAACACATTTCCTCATCCTTCCTATTTCTGGGGTCATTGGCTTCTGGAAGGAGTTACTTGGAGGGGAAGGTGTTGGCTTGGAGCATGATGAAATACCCAGGCACTGAGGCCATAAGGCTCTCTGCTCTGGGTCTTGCATCCCTCTTAGTCTTGATACCCAGAAATGATTGGATCAGACAGCATAAACTTTTCCACTAAATCAAATTAGAAGTATTTCCTTTTGATGAAATGTAAACTCATAAACTTTATACATTCCCCTTCTTACTATAATAATTAAGCAGAATAACTGAAACAGGAGTTTCCCAAAATCTTATTTTTGTAAACCTCTTTGGATTAGACTTTAGCTTTTGTGTATTGTACTATTACTCACCTTCCTGTCACTTAGACAATCCATCAGTTAGGCAAACTGTTTTTCAGGTTTGTTGTAATTACTGTAGTTGTATTGCCTAACTTCACCTTTGTTCTTTGCTGTGGGATTTTAAATTGTGCTTTGTAATTTCTGCTTCCTGTTCTTCAAATGGTTTAAACGTACATTTCCCTCTGAAGAAAAGAATATTTGTCTTAAGAGAGAAGCTGGTGTTTAGCATTAAGTCATGCTATGCCTGACTCTGACAGGAATTAATAAAATCCCAGCTTCCTCCAAATTAAAAATTAAGACTGGATTTCTTACCCATGTTCTGTGACCACTATATTTGATGTCAGATGCATTAAAATCCATACATCCCTTTGATTGCTTGATGTGTTGACTTGACATCATCTACTCATGGTATTTATTTATGACCTAGATAATAACAAACAAGGATGTTATCATCACCTTTAGACATCAATGGACCATATGCCAAGCACTAGCTTATCACATTTGCATGAGAGTAAGAAGGGATTATATTAGTTGAATAGCATGATTGTGCAAAAAAATACATGAATGGATGTCTTTTCTGTCTGATCTCAAATGGCTGGATAATATTTTACTTGATGATCATAATTTTTGTTTGTTTGTTTATGCTATTTTCTAACTTCTCAAGATCAGCACAGGCTTGATGTGACTGGGAGGAGAACATGCAGCCATCTGTTTCAGTCAAGTCAAAAGCTGTCACATTAGCTATTGCTAATGATGAGGAAGGACAGGCAAAACACAAAACATACACTTTTCTCTTATTTAAGTTCAGTGGAGATATGCTTCTCTCTAATTCATATTAAGAAACTGTTGCAAAAATGTGCTTCTAACTTGCCTTTAATTCTGCAAATCTGGATCACTTTCTTTTAAGTATAACTCATATGTATTTTTTGCTGTTTGCTCGAGCCAAAGTTGTAGAAAGAAGAAGGAGGAATGGCCAGTGAACATCCTGAGGAATGCAAAGTAGAGCTGCGTGCTGCCTCTGAGGATATGAGTGAATTTATTTGCTACACTTTCCTATGTGAATCAATATTGATCTCTACAAATCAGCGTTTGGGTTTCCTGCCAAGCAAGAGGTATGTACCATCCTTAGATCAGAGATCTGATTCGAGGCCTGATAGAAATAGGCTGTGAAAAAATGCCCCTGGTTCCAGAGAAATGTCAGATCAGTATGAATGATTTTGTTCCTCGTTGCCCTAAAACAAGGGCTTTTTAGTGATTAAATTCCGGACTCTCCCTTCCCACAGAAACATCAAAAAGGATACGTGCATAAACAAAATGTTCTGTAGGTTTCACACACTGTTGCCCAGCACACACTGTGAGTGTGTTCTCAGGGACTGCCAGACTCCAGCTCCCTGCTTTGATGTGCTCAGTTTGGCAATGCTCAGACTCTTTTCTTCAAACACTATTTTGGAAGTTTGCAGATTTTTTGAACCAGAGGCATTACCATGCTTTGATTTGAGCAAGGTAGAAAGCATCTCTCCTTGAATTTCTGGCAGGTTCTTTCAGGGCCGGGGTTCCTGACGTTCTTTTGGGTATGATAAAAGTATATCAAATCCCAGGTAACAGTGGTAGAACAAGAGGCAATGGCCTCAAGTTGCACCAGAGAAGGTTCTGGTTTGACATTAGGAAACATTTCTTCTCGGAAAGAGTGGTGATGGAGTGGCACAGGCTGCCTGGGCAGGTGATGCAGTCATTGCTTCCAGAGGTGTTCAAGAAGAGGGAAGATGTTCCACTGAGGGACGTGGTTTGAGCAGACATAAGCATGATGGTGATTTTAATGGTATTTCCAACCTTAATGATTATATGATTCTATCCCATGTAAGGCTCAAAACATATAACATATATATATATATATATTGCTAGCATTTGAAAACTCTTGCTATTGGAAAACACCCAAACATGCTAGCCATGAGTATTCACCCAACAGGGACTTCTGCTTTCCCCTTCATTGCCAGCATAGTGTTAGCCTGTTCTTTAAATAGTCGTGGTGTTTATCCTGGGTTGCAGTGGACCATGAACAAGAGCAGAAAGGAGAGTTCTAACTGTGGGAACCTTGGTGTAAATCTCACAGGAGACTGGTCAGAGCGGCAAGTGTGCATTTGTAGGTTTTAATATTGCTCAGTAGGTGGCAGCATTTATTTTTTTTTCCTGCATCTTATTTTGTTTTAGGTTCTCAGTAAAGTCCAGAAGAGATCTATGAATAATTATTGCTTGTATATTTAAATTTTCTGTAGGAGTTGTTTCTTTTCGTGCATATTATTAGTGTCATTACAGCTCTGATAAAGAGTCAAACTCATTAAACTTGGCAGAGTGAACTTGTTTTTTCTCATCATTGAATCCAAGTACGTTCGCTGCAAAAAACTCTACAGGATAGTATTTTGCAGTAATTCTATTCTGTGGACAGACGCCTTGGAAATGAACCTGTGGTGTTCACTTCCATGCTTAGGATTACATTGAGATCTGTCTCAGCTTTGAATGCTATCATCATATAGCGATTTTTTAAAAGTTGTTTCATTTTCTAAAATCTAAAGATCTGAAGAAGCAGCATGGGTTTCTGGATAGAGCATTATTATTGACAAAACCTTAGAAAACAAAGTCATTTTCCTCTGTAACTGAGTCTCATGTTTACATTGAGAAAAAAAAAATCCCTTTTTGAAAGGCTTTTAGTATCTACCAGTGGGAAGTTTTGTAAGATTCTGGTGCACTTGTAACATGTTCTACCTTTCAAAGAGATGTGGTATCTTTTTTTCTTGACTTTATAAGCAAAAGCATTTAGAGTTGATTTGAAGCTTCAGACTTACTTACATTATCCTATTCCTGCATTACCAGTAGAAGAGGCAAAGGTGCTGAAAAGTCCTTTGTTGCCATTTCTGTGTTTGGAAGTTATGGTTTGCAACTGTAATGAAAGTTTAAAATCACTTGTATTGTTCTAAGCTGAGAGCTAGCTAATTCTCATGTGAGAGTCAATGAAAGACAGTATACGAGTCATCTGTCTGGATCAGCCAAGGTAAACTTTTCCTAAGTTCTAGCTATGGGGGTCTGCAAACTCATAGTAGTTTTATTATCTAATTGAGCCCCAGGAGAAGAAAAATGTGCACATTTGGGGGAATCCTTCCAGTTCTGTGCAGAGGAAGAAGGATGCCCTTAAAAAAACTATCAAAAGAATGGGCTCATGAGGAAGGAAAGAAACATTTGCTTACTCCTCCTAGTTGATTATATTAACTGTGTTATATCATCTCCTGACAAACACTACTTTTAGACTCTGCGATACACAAGCCTGAAGGCATATATGGAATACTGTGCTGGAGCAGGGATCTTGTATACTATTTCAGCCCTCACAACAATAACTGATTTTTGCCTCACAAGCAGCTGGGATGAACCTGTACCAAGTAGTCAAGTGAATGTTACCAGAGTAGGTTTTCATTTCCTGACAGTCTTTGGGCTGTGAGAAAATAGAAATCTCCCTCCTCCTTTTCACCTTCTGCTAGTTCCCTACTCAGACCCTGATCAGAGGACTGAAGACCTAGTGCTGGCATCAGGTGGTGTAAATGAACAGTCAGGAGAAAACTGATAACTGAAAATATAGTTTAAAGAGGAAAAGTGTGGGAAATCCATACATATCATCGTAATGTGTTCTCTTGTCCTGTTAAGCGTTCAAAAGATCCAAACAGAAAACCAGATTGATGCTAAGTGACACAGAAGAAAAACACAGAGAAGACCCTCAAGGTCAGGCTGGATGGGCCTCTGAGCAATCTGGTGAAGTTGTAGGTGCTCCTGTTCACTGCAGGGGAGTTGGGCTACATTGCCTTTAGACATTCCTTCCAAGTCAAACGATTCTATGATTATATGATCTCAGTCTTTCAGAAATACTGATTTTTTTGGTCCATTTAACAGCCCAGAAAACACACATTCTCCTATCTCTGAGCTCCTCTCCATTCTACTCTTCTGAATATGTTTGGTCTCTAGACATGGAAAGAAACGCTGAAAAATAGTCTTAAGCACATTCCTGGGATTTTTCTCATCGCCACTGTTCTGCTGATGCTCTGTGCAGCTGTTGGCAGAGAACTTGCCTATTTTGACATACGGATACTTGATTTGAATGATTGATTGTGTGTC